CGTTTATCTAAGGGTTTGAGTAGCAATAGTAGTTGTTGTTAGTGTAATGTCAGTGTTAATATTAGGGTGACATAGGCAGCTGTACACCGCAATGTCCAGAGTTAAAAGTAGATTTGAGATAAAGATATTTATCAACTCAGAATCGGGCGATATAACTAAAATTACGAGCAATGTTTTGTGCACACAAGATTTTCAGCGAATATGAAGGTAAATCACAAACAAATGTATATTTTGATTCAATAAAACATTTTTTTTGGTATTATTTACATGTATATCAACTGTTCATAGTTTTCGTTCGTTTTATTTTATCCAAAAAAAAATTTAAACATCCCATCCCATCCGAAGAACCAAACATATAATAACATAATCTAACAAATTTAACATGTAATAACATAATCTAACAAATTTAATAACATAATGTAACAAATTTAATACAACATCCCATCTGAAGAACCAAACATATTATTAATTAATTAATTAGTTAACCAGTAGGGACTTAATCGAATCTAATCTAATCTGGTTTAATCCAATATAATAACAAATTGGGACTTAATCGAATCTAATCTAATTTGTTGTAATCCAATATAATAACAAATTTAATACTACATGTAATCTAAAGAACCAAACACTATTAACTAATTAATTAGTTAACTAATAGAGAATTAATCTAATCTAATATAATCCGATATAGGTAAGCAAACAATAGTTAATTGTATTTGTGTACTCATTTGTAGATAAAGGAAAAATGGAAAACTACTCAACAAGTGACCAACACAAGATAGGGAAAATGTAGTATTATGGTCCTCTATGTTGGCATATTTAGGAATTTAGTCCTCCAACTTATCATGTTTCAGATTTATATGCAATAATTTTGCAAATATAGTATTTTTAGTTCTATTTTGCAGCATTTTTAATTTTATGACGTGACAAATAAACTCGACGCATTTTACTTATATGTACGCTTGGAAATTTATAAATCTAACTTACCATTTGTAGAACTTTAATTATGTAAGACAACTCATCCATAAATCAAATTAGAGGAGAATTTATAATTTTTAATTGTCCATATAAATAAACATCTACGAGTTTGTTAGGTATATCACTAAACGAAGGCTAAAATTCAAAGTTCGAGTGAAATATGACTAAAAATTACTAATTTTGCATAATTATTGCTTGTAAAATTGAAACATAACAACTTATAGGACGAATCCCTAAAGAGACCAATATATGGGACCAAAATTACAATTTTCACAAACAAGATACTATGTTTGAGTAAAGGTCCATATAGACCGAGAAGCTATCTGGTGCGACGCACTCGACGGCGAACAAAATTAAGCACACAAACGAACGGATAAAAATAAGCGGCAAAGAACCAAACCATTTCCTCCGCCGCCCACACCGCCGCTGTCGGCCGCCGTCAGAAATGGCAATCCTGATTCACTGCCCCTGTAATAGTAAGTCCACTTTCTTCAATTCATCTCCACCCTTCACCAATCCCGCCATATCCACAACCTTCCCACCTGCTAAAACCCCCAAAAAACCCCACTCGTCAAATTCTTGCAGAACTTCATTCCCCGCCCTCAAATTGTCCAAATTCAGACGCACCCACATTACTTTCTGCACCAAAAATGGAGTCTTCGAGGAATTTAAGGATACCCTTTTGTCCAGAAAGCCCGAAAACGAAGAGCCCGAATTACTCAACAAGCCTTCTCCGAAGCAAGCGAACCCCCTTCCTGTTGAGGAAACAGAACAACTCGAACCGGATAAACCGGATAAAGATGTAATCTTGGAGCCCTTCTATAAGTTTTTCCGGCCATTAGAGGAAGAAATTAACCGGAATAATATCGAAGAGGAAGAAGAGGGCGATGATAATATCGAGAAGGTCGGTATCGAATACTACGAACCGAAACCGGGCGATTTGGTAGTCGGCGTCGTCGTTTCGGGGAACGAGAATAAGCTCGATGTGAACGTGGGTGCCGATACGTTGGGCACAATGCTGACGAAAGAAGTGCTGCCGTTGTACGATAAGGAGATGGATTACCTCTTGTGCGATGTCGAGAGCGATTCCGACGAGTTTTTCGTACGAGGAAAGGTCGGGTTGGTGAGGAATGACGTGGCGATGGGTGGCGAAAGGGGCCACGGTAGGCCGGTTGTGGACCCCGGTACAATTCTTTTCGCGGAGGTTCTTGGACGGACGCTTGGCGGCCGGCCGTTGATCTCGACTAGGAGGCTGTTTAGACGGATTGCTTGGCATCGAGTGAGGCAGGTCTTTTTTCTTTCTTTTCGTTTTTTTTTTTTTGTTTCGGTTTATTGTTGTTGGAAATTGTTTGTTAGGGAAGTAGTAAATGGTTTAAAGATTGGATGAAGAATCGGCAAAATTGTGTTTAAAGAATGAAACTTCAAATAAATTCATATGTAAAAAAACACATTTTAGAAAGAGTCGAGAAATCCCGTGAATAAGTAATCGATACCTTTTGTTTATGTTAGTTAATTTCATTTGTGGGTTTTTGTTATTATCGACCGACGGAGCGAATTATCGGAGTGTGTTAAAAGCTTATACCGTTATTCGATTCGTTTATTTGGGCAGATTAAGCAACTCAACGAACCAATAGAGGTTAAAATAACCGAGTGGAATACCGGCGGTCTTCTTACAAGAATCGAGGTTAAAGAATTCTTTGTCTCTTCATCTAATTCTTTGTCTCTTCATCTTTTTTTTCTTTCTCCAATACACGTACTTAGATACGAAATCTTTTTTTTTTTTTTTTTTTTTTTTTATATATATTTTTTATATATAAACCCATAGTTTGTACTTGATTGGTTTTTTTGCAGGGGCTGAGGGCCTTTCTTCCGAAAGCGGAATTGCTGAATAGAGTCAACAATTTCACCGAACTAAAAGAGAATGTACGACCAATTACGTTCAATTTGTGGAATAACTACGATTATCAATTATGAAGCTATTATTATTTACTCGGAAATTGTCGAATCTTGTGTTGGAAAAATGTTCGTATCGTCAGAAACGAATTTGTCTTAATTTTATTATGTTTTTATATTTTCAGGTGGGACGAAGGCTGCATGTGCAAATTACTAGAATAAACGAAGATACAAATGACTTAATACTTAGCGAAAAGGAGGCTTGGGTTTGTATTTTTCACTTCCGATTCTTTGTTACATTTCGACGTTTGTTTCTGTTTTGATTATTTATATATTTATTTATTTATTTAATCGTAGGAGATGATGCATCTTCAACCTGGAACTCTTCTAGAAGGAACAGTCAGGAAATTGTACCCGTACGGCGCACAGATAAGGATAGGCGACACTAATAGGAGGTAAGTAATAAAAAATATTTTTTTTTTTTTTTTTTTTGCAAATTGCGGTTTGATAAATTATTAAATGCTTGTTCGTTGATGTTTTCGTTTGGTTGAATACGAGCTACGTTTGCGTTGTTCCATAGATTATTTCAATGTGAACATATTTCCGTCTATTGTGCATGCATATTATTTGAGTAACAATCGTCTGTATTATGTTTTATAATTTTTTCTTAATAAATATTTTGCAGTGGATTGCTACATATATCAAACATATCTCTAGGCAAAATTAGTTCCGTTAGCGACGTACTTACCGTCGGTGAAGAGGTTAAAGTTGTTGTCGTAAAATCGATGTTTCACGATAAAATTTCTCTGAGGTATGCCATTAATTACTTTAATATTCAATTCTTATCCAAATATATATATATTATTTTTTAATTTTTTTTTTTGTGAAGATCCGTCTTTGGGATTTTCCAAATTGGCTTACAAAAAAATGTTGAAATGGAAATTTGATAAGTTGTAAATGCATACAATTGTAACTAATGTATCCCAATTAGGTGTTGAAATTGAAACGTAATTTCCGAATTTCGCCTTTTCTGACCTGAAAATTTCCCATTTAGAATAAAATTTTCATTTCAATTTTTGGAATTCAATTTTTTCGATTTCTTCCGAAAATTTTCTGATCAGGATCGGAGCTATTTATTAGATAAGCGGAATTCCAATTTCCAATCCGATTTAATTTCCGAAAATATATTTATAATATCAATGTTAGTTAGCTATATTTTTAAGATTTTATATAGTTAGAGTAGTTAAATCATATTGTTACACACACAAAAAAAAATTGAATTTCCAAAAATTTCGTGAAATATAGAAGTAACACAATTTCCGAAAATTCCGGAATCAGAGTTAATTTTGTTGAGTGGTACTTCTTTTAAAATTATTGTCTTGTTTTCGTTAAACTGAATCTTATTGTTGTGCAGCATTGCCGAACTCGAAAGTGAGCCTGGTCTATTTTTGTCGAACAAGGAGGTAAAAACCAACGCACTATAATGGCTTGTTAATATATTATCCCATTACCGTAATAATTATTATTATTTTTTAATTTTTTTTTAATTTCCCGATTTTATTCAGAAAGTATTTTCTGAAGCTATAGAGATGGCAAAGAAGTACAGGCAGAGAATTTCGGCTGTATCCGCAAAAAGAAAGCTAGAACCCCTTCCCACGAACGGTTTGCCTTTTGAAGACGAAGAAAAGTTATATTCCAACTGGAAATGGTTCAAATTCGAGAGAGACATCGAGATTTAAATCCTTAAAAATTGAAAATTTAATTGGTAACAAGGAGAATTATCCTAAAAGGGGATTGAGGATTTATTTTAATCCTGAAAAATGAATTCTTCTCCAATGTGACACTTGTCATTCGGCAATTGGAGGAAGAACGGAAGTCGAAGGTAATAATTTCTCAGGTGTCTGTGAATATGAAACTCTCGTTTAAATTACGTTTTGCTAATTTAAGCTTCGATTTTTGTTTTTCGATCACAACTTTATTTAAAAGAGGCGGCTTTGTTTTTTTCTGTACTGCGCTTATCTTTACCCGTAAAACGATTCGAGGATTTGTAATGGTAGCGCGTAAAAGATAACGCGACGGTAGAATCCACTGCCTAGAGTAGCTATATGTATATTTGCAATTCTATTTATGTTATTTTCTCTCGATTTTTCTGCACATGAAAATCATTTTCGATATTCAGCTTGTTGAATGGGTGTGTAATAAACTAATAATGTGTAGCACAGTAACAGTAGCCTCGACCGAATGAGCCCTAAAACGAAAAAACTTGAAAGTGAGAGGGAGAAGTCCTAATTGTGTTGTTTCGATTATTCGGCTTCGCATTTGAGTTATTCTTTGTTTTTTATCACAGTTTGTTTCTTTCTCGTTCCATGTTCTTTTCTTTTTCGTGCTCCTTTTTTCGAAAACTCTTCCACATAAATATTTGCAAAGAAATAACAAAGGCGAAGCCAAGAGAAAGAAGAAAATGAAATACAACTCGAAGACCAAGACTACATGATCAATTCCTCTATGTTACCTCATTTTAACCCAATTTAAAAAGGGTTGTACGCCCGGGATTGAATCCGAAAATGTAATAAGGATCGTGTCCTTATTTGAAATGATTATATATGATGAGGTGCTTTAAAAAAAATTTACTAAAATGCATTTCTTCTTAGGAAAGGAAATCCTCAAGATTAAATATATAAATGTAGAACCAAATAAATGTTTCATTATGCAGAAGGGGAGACACAAAAGAAGCATGCCATGTTTGGGTACAAGATATGTTTGGGTACAAGATATGTCACTCAAGACCTGGATTTCTGATGCACTTACAACAATACATCCAAACAGTCCCTTTATCTTTTGGTATCACAAATTTCATGTTTCTGTTGTTATTATGTCACTCAAGACCTGGATTTCTGATGCACTTACAACAATACATCCAAACAGTCCCTTTATCTTTTGGTATCACAAATTTCATGTTTCTGTTGTTATTTGTCATCTTATTGCATCCCCATTCATTGCACTGCAGTCTCTTCTCGGAAACTCATCTGTTTAGACAAACGAAAAACGGGCAAGTTTATGCAATAAGTTGGTATTCTACAAGACACCAATTTTACAATAAAATAAAATTAAAAATTTCCCTCGGTTTCGTAGATTTCTATATATAAGTGATTATCAAACCTTGTTCTGCATCCACAAGTACAAATTTCATCAGTGAGCTGGAACAGTTGCGGTATTTCACCCAACATATAAATAACTGTGCCATGTTTACTTTTTTTTTTTTCCCTTTCTTCATAGTTTAAAATAAGAATTCTATTCCATATTTTATATCCTAATACTCCTCGACATTAGTCTAATATTTTACGATTTTAACCCCGATATTAACTACCTTGCGATCAGTCCTCCACAGTAAAGACAGTCTAAGATACGTTATATTTCCAACTAAATGTTTACACATATTCCTGAATTTCATACGTATAAAATCTCAAAACTTTGCGCGATTTTGGGATAAAATTATAAAACCCTACTACTTAACTATCTTTCAATTATTTATTAAAAATCAAATCTTTACGGAGTTAGTCAAGCAAGGAAACAAGGCTACAAGCTCCTATCGTGTTCTTCACCTCTTTTTTTAAGTTCAACTTCCATCAACCACCATTAGTTCAAAGTTCAAACACCCCCCACCCCACCCCACCCCCCGAACCCCAATTAATTTGTTCGGTTTTACTTACGTGGTGTTTGCAAATGATTATTTAAAAGCAGAAGTTAGTGATTGTGAGTTAAGTCAGTTTTAAGTGCTTATTTCTAAAAGTTGGGGGTGTTTGCAAATATTCCGGAAAATGAACTTAAATAGAAAAAGCAGAGTTATGGGTGCTTTTAAAAGAATAGCTTAAAGCTGATTATTTTAAGAGAAGCAAAAACAAAGTTGATTTTGCAAACACCTGAGCAAAAAAAAGCTCATAATCACTTTCAAAAAGCTTTTGCAAACACCACCTTAGCAATATACATGCTTAATCTTTTTTTTTTTTTATGAAATCAACCGTAATATACATATTTAATCTAACAATTACGTTATGAACTTACTTGCACCTAACTACTGAAAGCATTTCGGATTTGTGACGGCATTACAAAGAAGTTCATCGAATTACCACCATCACATTCGCAATAAACTAAATAAAAAATCAACGATACAGCATTACCAACTCCATTATTTAATACGATACGATATCGCCTAATTAAGTTCGAATAATCCACGTCATACAAGCAAGACCGAGCACCGAAACCAACACAAGATATCAACCGCAGAAAAAAATAACGAAAAAAATTAGGTTATCGGAAACTCACTACTCATTCAATTGTTCAAGCTCAGCCTTCAGCTGCTCAATCTTGAGTCCCATCGCCCGCTGTATCGCCGCCTTCTCCTTCTCCGGCAGCTTCTCCAGAAGCACTTTATACAATTCCAGAACTTCTCCGACAGCTTCACGCGCGCACTCCGCCTCCTCGTTGAAATACACGGTTTCTTTGGAATCCATGGCCGACTCTATCTCCTCCCTCGCTTCGGCGAATTTGAGGTTGATTGTATCCACTTCTTTGTCGGTTTCCGCGCTGAAATTCCTGAAACCCTGGAAAAACGGAGAATTGAATCTCGATACAGCTGCCGGAGTGTAGAAACAATGGGGTTTGTTGAGGCTGTGGTATGGGGAGATTTGATTCGAGAAATTTGCGGCGGAGGTTGTCGGAAATTGGGATTTGGTCCGTGGAGATTTGCCGAAAGCGTGTCGGGAGAGTAATTTGTGGAGATGAAGAGATGAACGGTGAAGCATTTTTGCAGAGTTACTGTAAGCAAAGGAATTTGGGGGAGAAGAAAGAAGAAGAGGAGAAAAACCCCTTTGGTTCAATTGGGGGTTATTGAATTTAGGGTAAATTACAATCACCCCCTTCATGTATCCTTAAATTACAAACCCCCCCCCTCTTGTTTATCGAATGGGCTATTGGACTTTGATTTAGTTTAATGGGCTTTTAATGTTTTAATTGGGTTTCTCACTCGAACTCGAGTTTTTCGAGCTCGAGTTTTTCTTTAGTTCTCTCTTGTTTGGGTAATTACAACAACTCCTCTTAACTATAAATTTTCTTACATATCCACCCTTGCGGTTTCAAATTTAGTGAAATCTTTTTGATTATATGGAATATTATTACTTTTGTACCCGCTTTATTCCATTCGAGCTCCACATTATGAAGCAAGATGATCGTAAGATCTATTTTTTGGCTTGTATATATCAAATTGTGGTACATCATAAACTGTATTTAGAGCACATTTCATGGAATCTAGAAGATTATGTTGCATTTGACACCATAAGAGTGGAGGTACAAGAAGATTCATAGTTGAGGCCTAGATGTAATTTTCCAAACAAGAGGGTTTTTGTTCGTAATTTGACCTTACCCCAGGGTCATTGTAATTTACCCAAAAATAAATTAAAAAGCTAATAAAATAAAATAAAATGCACCAACCCTCATTAGGAGAGTTGGTACTAGCACGGCAGGTAAAAGGTCTAGGGTTCGAGTCCCCCCTCCTTTACTTTCCCTTAAAATGACTTGAAGTGTAAATTACACCCACACACCCTGAGGGATGCTTAAATAACTTTAAGGTCCCTGTGGTATCGATAATTATACCCACCCCTTGAAACGTAGTTATAAACTCTAATGGCATAATGCAAAATAATAGTCCATTATACCCTATCGGAATAATGTATCCAATGCATTATTTAGAGCTTCTAACTACGTTTTCACGGGGTGAATGTAATTATCAATAACACAGGGACCTTAAAGTTATTTAAGCATACATGGGGTGGAATTTACCCTGACTTGAATTAGAAAAAAAAATGAAACGTGAGTACTCAAAAAAAAAAAAAGACATATATAAGAACTGACCAATCTTCATACGCCACCTCATCAAGCACCTGATTATTAAAAAAGTAAATAAGGACAACGTGCAGTAACGCCGTTATGTTTAACACACACACTCTCTCTCTTCTCTCTCTCTCTAACTTTACTTTACTCTCTTTATCGGAAAGGAAAAGAAAAAAAACAAAAGGGAAAAAAAGAAAGCAGTTTTAGCAAACAACACTACAATCAATCAGACCAAAAAAATAAAAATAAATATAAAAAAGACGAGATTACAGATTAGATCTGGCCTTTGCTTTCTCCCTTTCAGACGCGCAAAACACACACACACACACAGTCCTTCTTCACTAGCTGGATTATATTATCACTCAACTTATCCAGATCTCGCCATGGAAATGTAGATTATTTTCAGTTCAGGTACGTACTGCCATTTCTCTTTAGCTTTTTTGTACTTTTTTCTTTGATGGGTCTTCTTATTTTTCAGTTTTCTTTAATGGGTTCCTTTTCAATTTTATTTTTTAGTTGTAAGAAAGAAATTTCAGTGTGTGTGTGTGTGTGTGTGTGTGTTTGTGTTGTTCCCTTTGTTGATGTAATTTGGATAATGATGTGGGCAAGATTTTTGTTGTTGAGGGGTTTGGTGCGGGCAGCATATTAAATAATTTTTTTTTAATTTTTTTTAAAATTTATTTATTTAGTGGGGTCATTTTCATGTATATTAGTTAGAAATTGAGTCCAAAAATGGAATAGATTTATTCCAAAATCAACGGCATGAAATTCCAAATTCTTGATGGGCTACAATTGGAAGTATCTGAAATTCTTGATTCAGACCTATTTGTTGTGAATAAATAATTATTCGTATTTTTTAAATCATGTCAAATGATTGTAGGAAAATAAAACCTTTGTTTGTCCATGATTCATGCTTCTCTCTCTCCCCGATTTTCATGGAATGCGTTTACGGAAAGTCAAAAGTCCTTTTTCTGCAAAATGTGTATGCTCGTTTGGCTTCGATTGACTAAATGTGTAATCGGTACTTAACAGTTGAAATATTCAATTATGACAGGCAGGAAATCGAAGAGTTATAAAAGTTGCCCTTGTTTGATCAATTATAATATTGGTGATAAAAAACGTAGAGCATCTTTTTTTCGGTGTGTCTTGTTCGACAAATCGACTAGTCTATGGGGTCGGAGCAGAATCGGTTTCTGCAGCCACAACAAGCATCAGCACCTCGGGTATATTTCGTCGTTTTACGCTTCTGCACCTAATGATTTATTGAATCTGCGGTAATGCGCTTAAAGTTGTCGAGCTAGAAATAATACTTATAACTGCAAATTTAGTAAAACTGAATATGGAATCAAAGTCGTAGAAGCTGCACGCGTAACGTGAATTACGAGGTACCGATCTCGGTAATAATGAATTTGAAATATATTTCCATGGCATATTGATTATCTTATATCTATCTATATGTTTTGTTTGCTATGTAAATAATTATTCGTATTTAAGCATACAATGGCTAATAATGCTCAAATCAGCACCAAAACCGCATCAAATCGACTCCAAAAAAAAAAAAAATCAACATTAACCCCTAATTCGCATGATTTATTTATTTATTCATTTCTTTTTTCATTATATATCATGATTTTATTTTATTTTATTTCATCTCCTACAGAGCAAGAGGTGGGGGGGCTGTTTGGGCGGGCTCTCGTGTTTCCGAAAACAAAAAGGCGGCGGAAAACGCATAGTGCCATCATCAAGAATCCCCGAAGGCAGCACCTTATCAAACCAGCCAAACGGGGCCCAATCCATCATTGGACTACCCATCCCCACCACCGGAATCGCCCCATCCCTCTTCGCGCCGCCATCTTCCCCCGCCTCCTTCTCCAACTCCGCCCTCCAATCCACCGCCCAATCTCCGACCTGCTTCCTCTCAGCTAACTCCCCATGCGGCGGCCCCTCCTCCACCATGTTCGTCACCGGACCCTACGCCCACGAAACCCAACTCGTATCTCCGCCCGTTTTCTCCACCTTCACAACCGAACCCTCCACCGCCCCTCTAACACCGCCGCCTGAGCTAGCCCACCTAACCACCCCATCCTCGCCCGACGTACCCTACGCCCGCTTCCTCTCCTCCTCCGCCAGCATAAAAAGAAACACCGAGAAGGGAAATTACGATCTTATCCAATCCACCTATTCGCTCTACCCCGGAAGCCCCGCCCTCCGATCGCCAGCTGGCGGCGCGTCGACTCCTTCGCCAGCTGGCGACTCTAAGTCGCGTCAAGATTCGAACTTTTTCTGCCCCGAGACTTTTGCGCAGTTTTATCTTGACCAGTCTTCATTCGCTCACTCGGGCGGTAGGTTGAGTATTTCGAGGGAGACGGATGCTTACGCAAACGGGCATCAGAATAATAATAATAATAATAGGCAGAGCAAGATTTCGAACAAACCACACGATGCTGAGGAGCTTGAGGCTTATAGGGCATCTTTCGGTTTTAGTGCCGATGAAATAATTACGACAGCTCACTATGTCGAGATATCGGATGTTGGAGAGGAGTATATTCTAACTGCTTCACCGAAAAAGGGTGTCGAAAATTGGAAAAGGCCGGAAGATTTTCCTAGTCCACAGCTCGGTAAAGGACTGCCTCATATTGAAGGTATATATATATATATATATATATATATATATATATATATATATATATATATATGTTACTCCCTTTGTTCTATAATATGAGTTACTTTAGAGTTCCAAGAATGCATTTTTTTTTTGCTGTTTTACACTTATTGATCAACTCTCTTATTACCTCATTAAATGGTAAAGGTTATTTTAGTCTTTTTATGTGTCTTACCTAAAGGCTAAAATTCAACCATATTTAAATAACTTTTTTCATATGTGTGTAAAAATTAGTCGCTTTAATAGGTGCAATTGCTATAGCTCGTCATTAAATTTTTTTATTTAAAACGAGTAATTCAAATAGAATCGACAGAAATTCTTTTATTCCATATTATATGTCACTTTAGAGTTCCAAGATTTCATTTTTTCCTGTTTTGCCCTTTATTAACTTTCTCTTGTCACTTCATTAAGTGGTAAAGGTTATTTTAGTCTTTTTCATGCCGTCTTTCCTAAAATTCAACCATATTTAATAACTTTCATACTAATGTGTGTAATAACCTCAATCGACGTGTGATAAATTCTTCGACATTTTATTGTTATTTGCTCTTGAAGAGAATTGTCGACTGTGGTTTCATTTTCTCGTTTAAAATCAATAACATTAGTTATTATTTTCCTGATTTTGTTTTCTTACAGCGCGAAACTTAGCAAGTACGCATGTTTTAAGTGATGACGAGGACATATTCGCCAAGATGGGGAATCCTAGAAATGGTCGTAAATTTCATTTCGGTTCGTCGAATTCCGATGCTGAGGTGGAGTACAGGAGAGGGCGAAGCATTAGAGAAGAGCGTAGCTGGAGAGAGAGCTGAGTCGACTCGGCCCGAAAAAAGAAAATGAAAGATCTATTTATTAAGGACACAAAAACAGATTGCTTGTATGTATTTGCAGCCTGTTCTTTTGGGTTTTTTTTGTAATGTTCCTTTTGTGTGGGGCCCAAGTATAATATAATATATTTTGTGATATTACTTTAATATTTACTTTGAAGAATTGTTGCTTCATCAGTATTTGTAGAACTTGATGTGGATCTCTTGAAGCAAAAAACTCTAGAACTGCTCTTTTGTATGTAAATTATATTTCTAATATATTAATTATTAAATGTTATGCATTGGCTTTCTTGGTATGTACTGCCATTGAAAATTGAGGGGTGAATTAGACATACTTCCTCAAGGTTAGGGGTGTAATTACAATTAGGTTCTTTTGGGTTTTGAAAACTACAAAGGCGCACTGGGTGAGAGAGGGCGACAAAAATACAAAATTTTTTCCACGCAAAGGCCTCATCCAGACGAAGGAGGAATACCATTTCAGGTTTATGTGATTCAAAAGGTGTATGGTGCGAGAAAGAGTTTGAGCTGGAAAATATTGTCTCCGAGTACTTCCGGAATATATTCACATCTGAACATCCATCCATGGCTGAAATGGAGGAGGTGTTGGGAGCTATTGAACCGCTTGTCGACGATTCAATGAATAAAACACTCCTCGAGGAGTATACGCAAGAAGAGGTGAAAAGGGCCCTAGATGAGATGCATCCATTGAAATCACCGGGGCCTGATGGTTTTCCAGCGGTTTTTTTCCAGCGTTTCTGGAATTTGGTGGGCGGCGATGTGACCAAATGGGTGCTAACTTTACTAAACCACCAGGAGATGCCTTCAAAGGGAAATTACACCCATATAGTGCTGATTCCCAAATGTCAGGACCCTAGGAATATGACACAATTTCGGCCGATTAGTTTGAGCAACGTGGTTTATAAAATTGCTTCCAAAGTTATAGTGAATCGTCTTAAACCACATATGAATTCTATCATATCTGAATCTCAATCGGCTTTTGTTCCTTCTCGATTAATTTCGGATAATATTTTGATCGCATATGAAGTTTCTCATTATATTAAGAGGAGTACGGCGGAGCATATGGCAATAAAATTGGATCTAAGCAAAGCTTATGATCGTATTGAATGGGGTTTTCTTCGCGGGGTGATGGCTAAACTCGGATTCCATATTAGATTTATTAATTTGATCATGTTATGTGTCACTACTGTCACTTATTCTTTTGTTCTCAATGGGCGATCTTTTGGCTTTCTCACGCCGGAGAGGGGTATTCGACAAGGCGATCCAATTTCCCCTTATCTTTTTCTCTTTTGTGCGGAAGCGCTCAGTGCTCTGATCAAACGAGAAGAGCGACGAGGTAATATAGCTGGTTTGACTGTATGCAAAAATGCGCCAAGAGTATCTCACTTACTTTTTGCAGATGATACAATAATTTTCTGCAACGCCAATATCTCTTCGGCCCATTGTGTGAAAAATATTTTGAGAACTTATGAAAAGGCTTCGGGTCAAAAAGTGAATTATCAGAAATCTAGCATCGTCTTTAGCAAAACGACTACCTCGGCGAATAAGGAGATGATCAGAACTGCACTTTCAATGGAAGTAGTTGACAAACACGATAAATACTTGGGACTCCCATCAGTGATAGGAAAATCAAAACGAGAAGTATTCAGTCATATCAGAGACAGGGTTTGCAAACGTCTTCAAGGATGGAAGGAGAAATGGCTATCGAAGGGAGGAAAAGAAATCCTTATCAAAGCTGTGATTCAAGCCATCCCTACGTACGCAATGAGTTGCTTCAAACTTCCAAGGTATTTTACGGAAGAAGTTGAGGGGTCTATGGCTAAGTTTTGGTGGAAGGATAATCGAGGGAAGGGGATTCATTGGATTAAATGGCACGATATGTGCTTGAGCAAAGATTGTGGAGGCCTCGGTTTTCGCAACTTAGACGCTTTCAACACAGCTCTTCTTGCTAAACAAGTTTGGCGTCTTTTGGTTTCGCCGGATAGCTTATTAGCAAGGATATACAAGGCGCGGTACTACCCACAATCTGATATTTTTGGTGCATCGTTAGGATCAAATCCATCATACACGTGGAGAAGTATATGGGGTGCTATAGCTCTGTTAGATAAGGGTACTCGATGGAGAATTGGAAGTGGAGCAAAGGTGTCAATATGGGGCGATAAATGGCTTCCGAGAGTAACTACTTTTAAACCTTTTACTCCTAGAGGTAGTTGGCCAACGGAGATGAGGGTCCAAAGTCTCATTGACAATGAGTCTGGTCGTTGGAATATACATGTCTTATCCTCGATTTTCAACGAAGATGATATAAGGTGTATAATGTCTATTCCTCTTGGGAATTCTGTTAACGAAGATAAGATTATTTGGCATTATAATCAGAGTGGTTTATTCACTGTTCGTAGCGCTTATCACTTAGCTGTCCAGTTAGAGAAGGAAAGAATGGGCCTAAACACCGCTAGTAGCTCCTCTATGGCTCCCACGGGGTCATGGAAGTGGTTATGGGGTTTGAAGCTACCGAGTAAAATAAAAATCTTTCTTTGGCGCTGCTGTAAAAATCTTCTTCCTACGCGGCTAAATTTGGTACAACGAAGGGTGCTTGAGGTAGGCACATGTGAAGTATGCAGTGATGACGACGAAGATGTTCTCCATTGCCTATTACTGTGCTCTTTCGCTAGACAAGTGTGGGCGCTAAGTGGAGTGCCATGGTCGACACATTGGCCGAGAGAGCGAAATTTTCTCGATTGGTTCATGCGCATTAAAAGGCAGCTGGATAGTGCGCAAGTTGAATATTGTGTTGTATTGTGTTGGGCCATTTGGAATAAGAGAAATAAATGCTATTTCGAGGAAGTACATTATTCAGCTATGGATGTCATTGTTTTCGCCAAGAAGTTTATCATGGAATTGCGAGGAGCGTTCTCAGTTGTTCTTAGTCCACATTCGTCTCGAGCCGTTGGAAGAATGTTAATTCATTGGGAGGCGCCGTCTAGGGATGTGTTAAAAATAAATTTCGATGCTTCCCTTGGCTCAGATGAAAATAGTTGCGGTTTAGGTGGATTAGCAAGATCTTTCGATGGTAAATGTGTTGCTTGGTTCTCTTCTTGCTGCACTCAACGTCTAGACGCAACTACAGCAGAGGCGATGGCAGCACTCAAAGCCATGGAGTTCGCTCGCGATCATGATATGCATCGAGTTGTTTTAGAAAGCGATTCCAGCACCATTGTCGCAGCTATCCAAGGTGAAGGAGGGTCTTTTTTCAGCTTTGGTCACCTCATCGACGATATCAAAAGACTCTCATCCGCATTTGAAGAGTTCAAAGTTTGCCATGTCAAAAGGGAAGGTAACCGTGCTGCCCACGAAATCGCAAAATTGTCCTTAAGGTCGACTTTTACGGCTGATGTTCTCCCAGATTTCATATCTAGTATTGTAATTTCTGATTTTTCTCATTAATGCAATTATAAGTCTGCTTTTCTCAAAAAAAAAAAAAGAAAACTACATATTTTTTTGCTGAAGTTTGATTCTGTTGGGGGTGGAAATTAGACAGAATGGATCGGAAATGGGAAGAATTTCAATTTTTTTGGTAAGTAAATAATGGGTTTCAATTTCGGTTCCAAAGAAAATAGGAATGCAAAAATTCATTCTGATTTCGAAATGCCTTGAATTAGTGGAATTTCAAAAATTTCGGAAATTACATTAGTTTATAATCTCTTATTCCAAATTCAGATACAAAGAAAATTTTCAGAATATATTTTTATGAATTTTCGAAGGAAATTGCAAGAAAATCCAAAAGAGAGTTTGACAAAACAAAATAAATAAAAATACACGTAGGAACAACAAATTGAAATATAAATATTTTTATAAGAAAAAATGCAGCAACATAAAATTCATGATACCAATTAATCTTTTCTAAGGTTTTAATATACTGGACCCTTCGGTATTTATATTTTTCATTCAAAATATAACATAAGTTGTTTTATGGAATTGAAAAAATATATCATAAAATTATATTACATATTCCGAAAATCGATAGAAATATTCGGAACTAAAATCGGATCGAAAAATGAAAATTTCCGATAATTTTATATACCATTCCGATTCTATTCCAAATAAATTTGAAAAAAATGGGAAATCTTGATTTTGAAAATCGGAATGAAAAATATGGTTCCAAATTTGGATGTTTTCGGATCGAAATTGGCGGAATTTGAAAATTCCACTCCGATCGATTTCCAACCCCAATTCTAGTTAGAGTAAAAAGCAGTTTACCCCCTAAACTATGACCCGATTTGCACTTTGCCCCCTAAACAATTTTTTTTTGCACGGTGCCCTAAAAGTGGTATTTTCCGGCAAATGTCACCGGAATCTCAATCACGTGCCATTCATGTGAGATTTGGAGACTCTCTCGAATCATGGCTATGGCTACTTCTTTCAATCTTCAAAGTCGTTTGTGCACCAATTTCTAGGCAAAAACACACTAAAGATATTATTCCGACAACAAATTCAACCCCTACAAAATCTTGGGGGCAGGCCTGAGGCTCTCTGCCATGGCTATGAGTGTTCTTCAAAAAGCCCATCTCAAAAGACAAACCATCTCCAAGGAACTTTTGTTGACTATCATCGTCCCTGTAGGTATGTATATTTACATACAATCCTTTTATTTAGAAAATATTACAAAAACCCCCCTTAAGATCTAATTCTAATTTTAGCAATAAAAATTGAGAAAATAAAATACAATGACAAGGTCAGAAGGTCGCAACTAATAGTGTTAACGAGGCGAGCTTGAGCTCGAATCCATTTTGACGAGCATCGAATATTTATGGGCAAATTACGGCCATCCCCTGAGTTATGGTCAAATTACGAAACCCCCCTTCTGTTTGGTTAATTAAAGTCACCTCTCAACTATGTATTTTCTTACGAAAAGACCCCTCCAGAGGTAAATTTAGGGATGTTAATTCGGTAAAACCAAACCAAAATTTTGGTGCGCCAGCATTTCATACCGTTTACCTCAACTAAATATACGATTTGGTTCGGTAAATAACCGAATTACATAAGTTTTATGTAAAAACATTTAAAAGGAGGGGTGGCTGCAATTATCTAAATAATAGGTTTTTTCGTAGTTTGATCATACCTCAGGGGGTGACCGTAATTAGCCCAATATTTATTTTCTAGGCTCGAGCTCGAGCACAAAGCTTTTATATGTATTTTTTATATTTATATTATTTATATTTAAAATATTATACAAAATACTAAAAATAAAAATATTATTTATAAAAATAAAGCTCGCGAGCCGGCTACATTTTCGTATAATAGTTTGCAAATTATACGGGAGATGTAAACCATATTAGGCTAATCTTGAGGTGGTAAACGAGCTGAGCCAGCTCGACAAAGGCTCGAACTCGAGCTCGAGCTCGAGCCCAAATTTAGTTGTTCGACCGCTCGCGAGCTGCCTTTTTTTTTTTTTTCTTCTTATTCTTATTCTTATTCTTATTAACTAAATAGTAAATAGTCTATAATAATAAATATTTCTAGTATTTAAATAGAAAGAAATATATATTACTTTGATAATTCATAATAATATAAAATATTATAATAATAATAGAAAAAGAATATAACTAGAGTTTATTATTTATTTTATCATTTTTTTTAATTTTCCTATAAATAAAAATTAAATGATTTTAATAAAAAAATAAATAATAAAAAAAAAAAATTAAATGAGCCCAAGCTCGAGCTCGAGCTCGTCAAAATTGGCTCGAGCTCGAGCTCGGCAACATGGACTCAAGCTCGAGCTGGCCAAAACAGCCGAGCTTGGCTCGTTCTCACCTCTAGGTTAATCATGTGTGACAAGCTCCGCCTAACGACTGTTGGTAAAAAAATTCGAACTTGAGTCAATTAACACATGATCACTTATTCCAACTGTTAAATCATTGTTTGTGAACCCGAATCTTGTAATGTTTATAGCTGGTATTTGGTGGTATGCATATTTTGCGGTAAAGTCAATACTAGAATATGTAAAGTGCAACTTGTATCAAAAAACATGCCATACAAATATTATCGTAATTAATGAACCTTTATTATTTAAAAAAAAAAAATTGGGTGCACTTGTATTTCGTGAGTGCAAATGTGTTGAGTGTAGATTTTACACTCAATACGTTTACTTTACGTGGATCTTTTGTTTAGATTTAATTATATTTGTGCTTTAATTGATTGATTTTGTGTTTTATAGGTGAAAAACGAGATATAGGTGTCAATGAAGGAAAAAAGATCAAAAAGAAAGGAAAAAGTTGCAAATAAGGAAACAAATCAAATTGGAAGAAGGAATCTCGCCACAGCTTTGACAGTGTCCACGATTTCGAGCATATCTCTCTCATACGAACTCCGAATTAGGTGATTTTGGCGGCATTGGAAAGCTAATTTCAAGGGCTACAATTCTTATTTACAACATATTCCAAAATTCGGACTCCAACATGGCGAAAATCGAAGAACAAGTCCTATTGGGGGAAAGTGGCGGAAATTGATTCCTATTAGGTTTCTACTACTTCCTTATCAAGAAAAGCCTATAAAAGCAACATGTCTCTACACCATAAGCACGAAATTTTACACCACAAAACACGAAGAACGAAGATCAACGAAGACTCAAGCATAGTTTTTCTTATTTATTTTATTTATTCTATTTTGCTTATCATAAGAATTACGAGTAGCTAAGTTTTTAATCTAGGATTTTGTTGGAACCCTATGTGGGGATGGTGAACCCGTTTTCTTGAGAGTATGCAATTATGATTTTATGATTATTTCTTATACTTGTTATGATTGTTAGTGCATGAACTTGATCAATTTATGTGCTTTATCTGTGATTATTGGGATTGACTCGACAGAGCTATTTTGATAATTAGACGGTAAGTATAGGAACCTTCGAGTAGTTTTCACCGGATGAGTGTGTCAATTGCATGTGGTGTCGTAGACATACAGATATCACCTTAGGTAGCCATTTACGAGACTTGTTAGTTAATGCTTTATTCATAATTTGTTTGCATAGACATATAGTGAACCGTTTATGAATAATAGACTCATAATACACGCGACAGCGGGTTATGAGTAAATTAGTGTCTCGGGTTAATAATCATGAATCATATATTTCATAATTGAGGGGTTTTGGGTGAGCAATTCTTGCATAGGGGGAAGACAAAATCCTAGATCCGTTTTTATATTGATATTATCTCTTGTTTATTTGCTTTCCTAATTAGTTTAATATATTTAGTTGATTAAATTTGACAACCTTGCGTAGGCTGGATAAAAATCATAGTTGTTAGAATTTGGTACTTAGGATTAGGTAATTTGAGTATTCCCTGTGGGATCGACATCCGACTCTCACGAGTCCACTTTTACTACTTGTTTGCGATACGTGCACTTGCGTGTTAGGTATTTAGCACCCAACAAAATGCTATAAATATTTTTTGAGGCACATATAGGGTGGCCGTTTGGATCCGGTTTCATAGATTCAATCAGATTCAGTTCGCTTCACATGGATCCGATTTTGGATTAAGGCCGCGTCTACTTGTTCTACTAAGTGGAAAACGATAAAAGAAAAATCATATTTTAATAATATATATATATATACACTCGATAGTTAAATTGACTTTTGTTGTTGCAAGACAAATATACAACAAATATTTGCAAAAAAAAAAAAATTGAAAAATCCGCCCACGCACCTTCGCCGCCGCAAACTCGCCGCCCAAGCACCGTACAACTACGAGCGACCCAAATCCGCCCAACCTTGACGTCGAAATAGCAGGTATCTGTCTTTTAAAATTTAACGAAAATGAAAATTGAAAAAGGTTAGACAAAATCAATGTTTCCCGTGGGTTTCTTTTTTTTTTTTGTTAAAATAACATTTGTTTGATAATGTTTTAAAATTGTTATTTTAGGGGTTTGATGTCGATTTTGTTTGAAAACTATTGAACTTTGGATATCGACCTGCAAATGTCGATTTCGTGGGAGGTAACTCAACATTTGTAGGTCATTTTTAAGTACACTAAACCGACACACGTCGAGTCCAAATAGCTTATATCGACATTATGGTGTCGATTATTAGGCAAAAAACTCGACATTGTGCTTATGTCGAGTTTGTTGCACATATATCGACATCTTAACGTCGATTTTTGGGGAAAAAATTCGATCAGCAAATGTCGAATCGCATCTGCGCGAACATTTTCTGAAAAACGATAACCTCGCTAAAATTATACATCAATGCATACCTTCTTAAGTTCTTGCACCATAGAATCTTCCATTTTGATATCTTCTGACATCATATTTGCCTCTTTGTAGGATTTGTTGAGTTGTGAGTGTTCTGAATGTTGAAGTTTTGTGAGATTATGTAAGAGAAGGATAAATGTTTTTTTAGATTTTGGAAAATGGAGAAGATGATAATTTGGTGTAATTGTTAAATTTTTATGGTATTGTATCAAAATCAAACCAGTCTGTGTGTTTACAATTGATTTCAATTTCGTCCCTAAGTTATTTTTTAAACAATAAATTCTGTTTAAAAATTGATTGGACTAAAATACCCCTAAATTATACATTTAAATTTTATTAAAAATAAAACTATACTCCAATTTTTTAAGTCCCAAACTTTTTAGTTTCACAGAAAAATAATTTTACTATCACTATTAATATAATCGAGAAGAATTTACTAATTAAACCAAAATAATTTTCTTAAAATTCTAATTAAATTAGTTACGCTCCGCCGGCGCTCGCCCACTCCGCTCCGCCGCCGTCAACACCATAACTCTCCACCGCCGTCAACAGACGACAGGTCAGTCTTGTGTATATCATTATGGAAATAATATCAATGCGTTTGCTATCTTGAGATTTGATATTTAATTTTTCAAAGAATTCGATGCTGGATTTATGAAAACCTTTGCTATTTGATATAACTCTCTTCGTTTCTTTTCAGTTTTTTTTTTATATATATATTTTAGGAACACAGAAACAAAAAAAAAAAAGTTTTGTTGTGGCATTCATGTTGATTCCATAATATATTTTAATATTCATTTAAAATTTATTTACTCCAACCATGGTTCTCAAAATAATTATTAATTGGAAGTTTACGAGCGGTTTTATTTGTAATTGCCATATGTCAACATGTGATTGGACTGTTACATTTTTTTGACTCAAGTATTTTTACATTCCAAGACGTATCAAAATAGAACATTCATTTGATAACTAGATTGATACTTCTAGAAAAAAATTCACTCCAACCAACCACAAGTATCAAATAGATTATCAAATTTTAAATATATGAATAATTATATTATTAAATGCCACGTGTCAAATAGTGATAGGTCAATGGAGTGGTTACATTTTTTATACCTCTTTTTCCAAGGAGTATTTTTGCACCTCGGGGTGATTGAATATCAAAATAGTTCTCACTTACTTTAATGGCTCCATTGGAGGAGGATTTTTTAATTTTGGAGCATCAAAGTGGTAGTTTTTTTAATTTGATACCCCATTTAGTTCCTCCATTGGAGTTGCTCTCAGGGTGGCTGAGTATCAAAATAATTGTCACTTTAATGCCTGTCTCCATTGGAGGATGATTTTATAATTTTGGAGTATCAAAGTGGTAGTTTTTAGTTTGATACTTCATTTAGTTCCTCCATTGGAGTTGCTCTAAAAGATTTCTATTTTTGGGTGTGTAAATGGTGGTTAAAGATTTGAATCCTTATTTGATAACTCCATTGGAGTTGCTCTATCTGCTACTTGTTTAAGGACGAAAATCAAATAAGTGGTTATAGTGTAGTTATCCCAAAACTTGTTGTTAAACTCCTAAATCATGTTGTTAATTTTATTTTTCTCAGATAAATTATGTGGTTTTAACTACTATAAATATGGAGATTGATCTGCAGACTGCTGTTGGCATTGCTGGTGAGTTTCTTTTTTTTCTTTAAAAAAAAAAAAAAAAAAAAAAAAAAAAAACTATTTTCCTTGTATGATTTTCCTTCGAGTATGTTCTAATTCTTGTTTTCTTTTTCATGAAACAGGAATCATTGTGGGGGCATTTTCTTACTTCAGACCAGTGTAAGTTTCACGATGACACTAGTAGAAAAATCACTTTTCACTACGACATGAATTCCTAGTGTAAAATACCATCTTCGTAGTAAAAACTTTTTGCTACGAATATGCTTCCTTAGTAAACTCGGGAGTGACATATACTTTAGTCCGGCCATTAAAAGGAGGATAGTTATTGAGAAGCTCTAAAAGAATTGTGTCAACACTTGACAAATCAACCTATTTTCATTTTCTCGTTTCAAAATCAATGAACCGCACAAAGCTTTAATGTTTGTTATTTGTAATGCACAAATTTTCTTAATAAATAGGATTGTTTTCATGAAGACTGTGCAGAGACAGTGGACGACGGGGGATTTATCTGCAACCCCCTGCTTACTGACATATGTCAAGTGTACATTTTTTATGTGGTATGTATCGGAGGTTTCTAATATTTAAAATTATGGAGTATTCATGTTCTCAACAGTTTTCTCGAATATCCTAATTTATTAAATTTCATGAACTTGTATAGGTACGCTTTGCCGGATGTCTCACGCGGCAATCATCTTTTGTTCATATGCAATTTCGTTGGTTTTCTCTTTGCAAGCATATACATCGTGACGTTTCTTTGGCTTTCACCAAGGGTGGTGGTGTTAAAGAATGTTGGAGCAATTTTTGTTGCAATTGCTATTTCCACCGCCCATTTGGTTCTTCCTCGAGCATGGCTTCATGGCTACGAGAGGCAGCTGCTATGTGGTCTTGTGGCCGCTGGTTTCTCCATCTGTACGTGTTGGCCGTCAGTTAAAATCATAGTAAGTATCTCTCGTTCATGTATTTTTACCTCTTTGGTTGCTATTCATGGTGTTTGCAATGATTTTATTGTGTGATATTTGCGTAGTCGAAAAATAAATGTAGGACTCGGTGATGAAAACGAAAAATGTGGAGTTCATGTCCTTCTCCGCTTCGATCTCTATGTTTTTGAATGGTTCGTTGTGGTTTGTCTTCGGCTTACATGGATTGGACCCTTTTGTTATGGTAAGTATAAATACGGCAACTTTATGGTTTTCGACATTGTTTCTTATTTTGGTTTTTAATGTAACTTACTCAATATACTTACTACTTCCAGCTTCCGAATGGATTCACCAGTGTATTGGGAGCGCTACAAGTGATATTGTACCTCGTGTATCGAAATAACAAAAGTGAAGCCGAGAGAAAGAAGAAAATTAAATACAACTCGAATGACACTATCATGAAGAAAAACTCGAAGTGAATTGATCATGTTGCATGCCCGGGCATTCGAGTTATTTATCTTCTTTTTTTTTTTCTTTTTTTTTTTTTTCTCTGTCTTTATCAATTTATCTCTTAAATATTGAAATCAATTTCTAGTGTATCTTAGCAAATTTCTTTCATTTATTTTAACAAAATGCATATGTAAATTCTATCATCTGTCTTAACAAATTCTTATGTGCATTCTTGTAGAGGTTCCAACCCAAATATTTTTACTTTTTTTTTTTTCATGAAACTTCTTTTAAGAGATGTAGAATAATTTATGTGGAATATTTTCGTATTTTATTAATGAAGTTAATTACGGTAAAATAATTATCTTTATATATAAAAGAAAGGTTTTGCGTAGATCCATTTTTGTGATTTTTTTACAACCCTAGGGGTATTTTAGTATTTAAATTATTATTATATATTTATTAAAAAATTAACATCCGTATTTTGAAATTATTGTTTTATTTATTTTTCTGATTTATTCTCAAGTCTTTAATTTCTTGGTTTAATTTTAGTAAAGGGTTTTGTATGTGTGATGCATTACTAAGTTTTAGATTGAAAAATCATATTTAACATAATGTGTTTGTTATCTTAATAATACATGTGTGATTGATTTGAATTTCTTTGTTGATGAACAGAACTCTTTGATCTCAATTACTGTAAAAAAAATGGATTTTTTCGACTTTTATAAGTGGTAGATATTTTTATTTAAACTATCTACAAAAAATTACAAAAAACTATCCTCAGCCAGCTAACACAAGCATATATATGCAATTAATGATAATTTTCGAGAGTCCTTCAGCCAGCTAAAAGAGTTTGAAATCGAGTAATTTTCAAACGATCCAAATACTGAAAGAGGAAAGCAAAGGTTAGACTTCGTTTTTTTCGTAAAATTATTTTGCCACAAAATCCGACGCCATATTTTGCCCTCACCCAGAAACAGTTTATCTCACTTCTTCTGTTGGTGGAAGATGCATAATACTATTTATTGAATTGAAAATATTTATTAGAAGCTCAAACTTACCTAACATTATATTGTTTCATTCTAAAAATGTCTCAAATATTTCCTCTAACAAAAATATATATATATTTATTATAAATATATTTGCATTATTGTAAACTTTAATTACAACTTTAAATTGGCATATTATTTTACAAAACTATTTTAACTATACAATATTTTAGATGTATAAATTATTGTTCAAAATTCACATGTTTGGATGAACTGTTTAATTAAGAGAAAAATATTTTTCCAATATAGTATAGTGAATTTGTTTGATTTGTCGTTAAACTATAGATTTTTATTCATAACTTCGTATAGTCCTATTGTGGTGTAAAACTATTTTAACTGGATATTGTACGTTGACATATAAATGACATGAGTGTCGATTTCGGATGAACCGTTTAACAGCGAGTCTGTTAGACTTTTTCACTCATTTATTTTCGATTTTTTCAATGATTAAAATAAAATATTTTGCAAACTATTTTAATTATATATTTTAGACATTTATATAAATTAGTGTCATGTTTAAATTTTCATTTTTTTATAACAATGTAAGATATATGTTAATTTTTCCGAGTTAATACAATACATCTTAACGCTCTAAATTGGCTTATTA